CTATTTTTCTTCCTAGGAGAACTCCGAGTCGGGGTCGGCCATTGTGGTTTGAAGGAATGGGGAGCTTGTGTGGGAGATGTTGGTGGGATTTGTGATGTGGAGTAGGTGGAGGAGTGGACGAGAGGTGGATTGCGGCTGGGGATTGGGCTGCCAAAGGTAGCAGGTGGTCGCGGGTTTGAGAGCCACTGGGGATGTGTGGCGGGTTGTTTAGCAGGACCGTTGGAGCACAAACTCCAACGGGGGCCGTCAAATTTGGTCCCCGGTCGCGCGATAGCGGCTCCGTTGGAGATGCTCTAAGGCACCTTCACTCCCACATCTATGGGATTATTTTCTTGGAGTTAATGAAATCATTGGAATCAAAAATAATTGCAATGGGGGCTCACCTTTAGGCTTTGCTTTTGAACTTGTGTGGCTTGGGTCGGATCAAGTAGAAACTTGGCCATTGACTGGCAATGACAACTGTGTGGCGGACAGGTCGCGCACTGGGAGACCGGCAGCTATAAGTCAGGTGGCGAGGATCGGCGGCCCTGATCACGGTGTCGGTTAGTGAATCGTTGTCAAGAGACGTAAGCGAATGGTTACTCGAGCACTTCAACAGGTCTCGGGCAACCAGTTTGTCCGACTCCCGGACCTCCCTATGACCGTGACGGCGTCGCTTTGTTGTCCGCTGACGCAAGGCACAAAGTCTTCGAGAGGTCTAAGGCGCCGTGGTGTGTACCACAGGAGATCTTGATCATGTTGCCTTGCTCAACGCTTGGCTGCAAGTTACGCTGATCATTACGACTGTCATGACGTTACACGAGATAACGTTGAGCCTGCGGTTTTGCGCCCTTGGAGGTCACATCGGGTCACGTTGCCTCTGCATGCATTTAAGCTGCTTTTTTTCCGGTTTCTGGTGGATTGTGTATCATGGTGGAGGATTCATCTTTGCTCATCATGAGGAAATGGAAACTTAGCCTTGACTGGCCACAAGCATTGGGTGAACCGTGATGCCGCCGACTGGAGGACCGGAGGATGAGGTCCGGCGGCGCTAGCGGTGGTACCATATAACCGTATACACATCTGGGACGAACAAGAGAAGCAACTTGCAAAAATCACAACATATCGTGTTGGGCAGCTTCTTGAAAAGTTAAAACTAATCAGCCTCAGCCACTCAGATGTATCCCAGCGAGTACATCATGACCCAAGCAAACAGCCTCGCACAGCATTGATCCTACGTGCGATTGGCCAATCCAGCCACACAGTTGAATTTCCAGTGTCTGGAAGTCTATGTTGTACTAGGGTCCCAAGTGATCCACCGAGCATAAAACCCGCCAACAGCAGACATCAACTTGAGCCCCAGTCCCACCGCTGCCACAAGAAATCCAAACCACAGTCTGCTTTTGCCTACTCGCTTCAATCCCGATAACCATCAAAAGATCATTCCTATCATGTTGGCTCTTGGTCTTTATAACAGTCTTATTATTCTGTTGATTGGCACTTTCAAGCTTTCCGGTTGCGCTCCGGATTCTTACTCATTGACACCCATCTGTGAGACAGTTGTGATCAGTTCATTGTTCCTACGCAGACCCAACAGCTTCCGGGATGGATGCTAAAGACTCTCTCTACATGCCCTTCTTAGTTGATTGCAGTGAAGTGGGGCGAATAACCCGGGAAAAGTGTTGTTTTCACGGGCAATGTAAGTCCTCACCTTTTCTTCTCATTCTTTCATAGCTAATTATAGCTGATCAAACTACTCTGCCGTTAGGGATTCCCTCGCGCCCTGGTTGCCATTAGATACCTCGACTGGAAAGTACGGTCAGTCGACCACCATATACCCGCACCCGCCATTCGGATCGTGATTTGATTCTCATCTCCTCCTCTCTATAATCGGGCTTGAAATACGGCGGCAATCGATAGGATCCATGTCCAGGATGGTACGTGATTAGTCATTAGATATCCGTATGAGTTTGCCCAATTTTGGTTACCCACACACTCATCAAGCCCTTTTCCTCATATTGTAGCCCACCATCAGGAGTCCGAAACACCATTTCATCAAAGACTCTTATTTTTTTTATTTTTATTTTCATTTGAATTCCAAGCCTTGCATGTGATCACAACCAAACGGTCGAGATTCCTTGGATATTCTGGTGACTGTATGCAGACTTACGAGCTATTCTTGAAATTCGAGACAAATAATTAGAAATGCACAGAGTTTGCAACAACTGATGATCGACAGTAGGTTCACAATGTCCCACAGATTTGAGCAGAGTCCATGTTTTTATGATAACATGCAAAACAAAAAACAATCGGTTTTGAAGTTTTTGACGATGATCGATAATTTCTATAACCATTTACATACATACATACAAAAGTGCTTGAATCGCATTCTGCCCATGCGCCGCGACAACATTGGGTGATGGGATGGAATCGCACATGCAGGGCAAACAATCGGGTTTGCAGTGCAAATGGACATTAGTTTTTTTGTTTTTTTGTTTCGCGCAGAAAGTTGAGAAAATTAAGCTCAACCAACTCTGAGCGGTTGACAATCAGGGTGTGACGGATGAGCTGAGCTGCGAGTGACTTGTCGATGATGGGGTGGACAATTCGGTGGAGGAAAATGACTGCCAGTTAGATTGAGACTCATCAAGAACCCTCAGTTTTGTTGGAATCTTGTGATCAAAAAAAGTTTTTGTGGAGTTGATTGGGAGGAAGGTCGATACATAGTGTTTTTGTTGCAGAAATCTGTGACATGTTGTATTCTCGTACGTATGGCTTTCACTGATTTGGATGGATGGTCTGAGTTTACATAATCTCAAACCTTGTTTGATTAAGTGTAAGATCGACCAAAAAATATTAGGATCAGACTGGGCTGATCACTGGGGGGGGGGGACTGTCCCTCTTAATCAACTACCAACTGGCAAGAACCTCAAGAGGCTTTCAACCCACTCAAACAAAAGAAATAAGCCAGCCGAATGAACAGCAACAACAACACAGCAGGGATATCATGCCACCTCAAGCACAATCAACCAGCACAGCAGCAACTCAACCTCAACCACCACCACCACAACAGCAACAACCACATCAACAACAACAACCCAACAGAACAACAACAGCAACAACAACAACAAACCACAACAGCATCAAACGAACACTCTCAATCAACACTACCGACAAACTGAACAACAACTCACCAAACCAAACCAACAGTCCAATCCCAGATCAAGAGGCTGCTGCCAACGAACTACTAGCAAGAGTAGACCTCAATGCTGCACTCGAATTCATACAGAAACAGGCTCAAACTCAAACACCACCACCACCACCAGATCACCACCTCACAAGAACTGCCCATAAACAACAACCAACAACTCCCACTGCTCAAGCCACCCGGATAGCCCAGAGTCCCAATCTCCAGCCATCCCCTCAAACCAACTCAACAACTTATCCAAGCTCATTGGATATCAAGACTCCCGCTACCATCCCCCAAGCAACCTTTCCAACCCAGCTAGACGAACCCAATCCCACAACTCAAGATCCTAGCAGTGCTAGTAACAGCCCCTCCAGAAACCAACGCCTCAAAACTATCTCCATCTCAATCCTTCGCAGCGTCGCCCGGAAACGCGACTTCTCATCCGGAACTCATCCTGCTTCTCCCCCTGGCCCATCAGCAATCCAATCCTTATCTCCCGCCCTACAATCCGTCCTCAGCGATCATCATCATCATACTAACGAACTCGGTCCCATCAAACGTCCCTTCTTCATCGTCGATGTCAGGTCTGTGAGTAAGTACCTCTTTTTCTTTGTGTCATACAACACGAAAAAAGAAAAAAAAAAAAAACAATTCAAAAAAAAAAAACTCATTCATGTTTATCCACCAGCCGCTGCTGCAGAAAGGCATCAAGCCAATCCCAATCAGATTCGAAGAGTTGAAGAATGTAAACGATTCTTCTCATTGCGATACGAGCCCATCTTCACCACTCTGGCCGAAGGAAAGCCTCCCCCAAGTTTAGTCAAAGTGGCTGAATGGAGAAGAAAGTTACAGCTAGTCTCGATCCTCCGCAAGAAGCGCGAACAGTCTTTCCGATCCAGCAGTCAAGGCTCCTCAGAACTGCTACGAAGACCATTACATGAAGGACCCTCGAGCGCCGAAGAGCTGAGGCTCAAGTTAAGGATGACTATCGACCAGCCACCCAACCTACTGCTATCAGTCCTGCCTCACCAACAGAACACTTACAAATGGATCTGTCTCAGTGCACGCAAACGACGCACCATGTGGGAGATTTGTCCAGAGGATGTCCAGGCGTATATGTCCACCCAAGGGGCCATAGAGGACGAGGAAGAACTACGCGAAGCTGAACGGCTCTTTGGCAGATTTGATGAACACCCTATCCGGCACCCTAAATCGAGTCGACAACGAGTCAACAGTAATAAAGCCGGCAGTAGTCGATGGTTCAATGATAGCCACCATGGCTCCATCTCAGATAACGATTCCGCGCGCTCGCCTCATAGTGGCCAAACCTCCTTCCACAGCCAAAACTACCATCTCCGCAAACACTCCTCAGGCACCTCTTCTTCTCGTCAGATCCGAGCTAGTGGTTCCACCTCGTTTCTCCCAGAAACTTCTCAAGGCCTTCCCAGGGTCTCAGACTTATCCAATTATCGTTACTCCTCTGATATGTCCTCCTCACAAGACAAGTACAATCGGCGCCAGACTAACTCAGATATCGACGAACGTGACACGAAAAACCCCCAGGTCGACCCTGCTAGTCATGCCAACCCAGACCTATCAGTTGATGTCAACAATCTGAGCTGGTCCGGCAAGACGCCCGTCTCCTCACCCTACGTCTCATCGGCCATCCTAATCTCCCCCTTAGAACCACGCAACAACACTCGAACCTCGACCACCATCCTCCCATCCACACCCGTCCCGGACGATTATCATACCCCACCCCAATCAAAAACCAACCCATCGACGGTCCAGAGTAATCTAGCCTTCCCTGCCAAGCAGCCCCCTCGACACAGCAGTGATCATGGCCCTCGACCATCCAAGCCGACGTTTGTGAAAGCGAAAGCCAAGAAGTACCACAGCGGATGGAGTGCGACGGACGAGGCTGGCAACGCCCCCTCCTCGGGCTCGTCCCCCCTCAGATCTAACTCCCAGCCCGCCCTCGTCCCTCCGCTCGACAACCGTCACTCGAAACAGAGACTCTCTAGTCTCGCTCGCGGGATGACGACCAGCCATTCCAATCCGGCAACCAATCTTCCCGGCTCCCCCGAGAAACCAAACCTTTCTAGGAACGCCTCCGCTAAAGGCCTCCTCCACTTCGCGAAACGCTCCATCATCCCGGACATTCCGGGCCCTTCACCACTCCTCATTCCTGACCGAATCCTGGGGCCTACCTCTTCTTCCTCTTCTACTTCTTTCATCCCTCCTCATCCTCCTCATCTTCTTCATCCTGTTCCTCTTGTTCGTCCTTCGAAACTCTCGTTCTTTCATAAACCTCCGCGCGATTGGAAGGGCTGGAAATTCGACAAATCTCATCTCATCTTTCGTAATTCGAACAACAATCAAAAGAAGGTTTCTGTCGATCTCCTCCCGCCCGTTACCGATATCCTCTTCGTTAGCCCCTTCCATCAGCCCCTCAGAACCCCTACTCATCTCCCGAAAACCGCTGCCGGAGCTGCCGCTCTGCACTCTTTCGCTAATTATCAGTCCGTTAACTTGCCTATTCTGGTCACCGATTTGACGGATGAAGAAGTTCAAGAAACACAAATGTCAGTATTTTTTTTTCTTTTCTTTTTCTTTCTAGGGAAGGTAGATTTTTATTGACTGATGTTGATGAAATATTACAAAAATAGGTTGATTGTGATGTTGACGAGTCAATTGGAACATTCTGAGATGGCGCTGAAAGAGTGTCGGGATCAAGAGTATCGCAAATATGCGGCTCTGTTGCCCCAGATTCGTGAAGAGATTGGGTTGGAAGAGATTCCGATTCGGAAGAAAGTTGGGTGGGGTTGTTCAGACCAGCAAGAAGACGAAGGGCGAGGAGTTGAAGGAGAAGGAGGAGGAGGACGGAGGAATTCGAAGGGCAAAGGAGTCCAAGTATCGCTAGAGTCTGATCACTCATCATCATCAACCACCACGGAAGGCTCAGTCCTTTCACGATCAGTCCAAGAAGAAGAAGATCAAGACCGGTCAGAAGAAGAACACAGGATAGGTCGACAGCCCGAGGTTCCAGCTGTGGTCGAGGTGGTCAGAGAGCGGCTTGATGTTTGTCTGGCGCAAATCGACGCAACTCTGGTTTCTCTGGAGTCACATAAGCTGGCGTTCCGGGCGCGATTGGAAGAGCAGATCCGGGCCCGGGAGGCGGCGATCTATCAACACGAGCTCTTTCTGGCCTCGTGTTCTGAACGGCAAGAGCTGATGCGCAAGGACCGGGACTTGGTCAACCAGGTCCGTCGGACCATCAAGCTCTTCGGCCAAGAAGCGCGCTCACTCGACCATCTCAAGGCCGCCTTCACCGACGGGATCTCGAGGCCGATCATCAGCGCTCTCGTCTCCTTCCTCTCCAAACTCATCGGCATCGCCCTCAAACTCTTTGCCCTCCATTCGGCAGTCTATCGCGCCCCTTTCAAGGGCCTCTTCGGCGCCGTCCTTGGACGTTGGATCTTCGTCCTCCTCCATCGACATGCCCATCTTCTCCTCCTCATCGACCACTCCTTTGAGGCGCTGGTTCGTCAGAAGCTTTCTTCCCTCTTGTTGGCCGTCGGGTTGGATCCGAGCGGCGCATGGGCCTCGATCGCCTCGGCCTTCGCCGCCGCTTTCAGACTCGCCAAACTCGCCTTCATCCTCCTCAATCTCTCTATCTTACTCATCAGTCTTCTCTCCATCCTTTCGGCTTCGCTCGCCTTCTGGCCTCTTCGTAATCCTCCTCCTCGCTCGTTCTCTTTCTTGGCTAATGATCCGCTCCACCATCATCCTCATCCTAAATCTTCTGGTCATTCGAATTCGGTCAAACCTAGAGTTAAATCAACCGACCATCTTTCCAATCCAAATCCGTTGTCTTCTGCCGTTACGACCTCTCATCCTGATAAGAAATTCACTTGAGTAATCCTTCCTTCTTCACTCGTGTTTGTGTTGTGTTGTTGTTGTTGTTGGGTCCAAAAGAGCTCCTCATATATATATAAATAGATACCCCCATTCCTCTTCCCTTGCCCCTCTCAAAAACCCCAAAATGTTTAGAATGTAGATCCTTGGTTTTCATCCCTCCATTCATTCATTCATTATTATTCTTATTTATCACTCATTTCTTTTAATCCATTTTTTCTTTTTTTGAATCATCTTCTTTCCCTTTCTCATCATCATCATCATCATCATTGTTGTTGTTGTTTTTACTTATATTTATGAATCTCTGGTACCGTACTTTGTACATTGTCTCTTTTACTGTCACGATTATGACTTCCCACATCAATTCGTATCATCGCTTCCCCGTTTCTTCTGCTTCTGCTTTGTTTTGGTTCAAGTTCCAGTATTCAGTCTTCTTCAGTTTTCTTCAGTATTAGTTCATACCGGTATCATCATGTATCTCTACAGTCTATGTTTCTTTTATCTTTCGACCTTTCTTCTTCCTCATCTTCTGCACATACTTATTTATAAACATGGATTTTTTTTTTTTTTTTTTTGAGTTTGCTTTTCTTTTTTTTTTTGGGGGGGGGGGGGAGGGAGTGAGTGTTTATTCATGTAGAAATTGACGGGCAGAAGGAGATGTGGCCAGCTGGAAACCCTGGATAAATGAAGCCCTGTCAAAAGGCTCCTGTCAAAAGGCCCAATGTTGTGTTCACATTCTTCAGTCGTCTCTCCATACCACACCCTAACTGTAAAATATACACTTGAGATCAACAGACACTCACAAATCTTCCGGTCCTATTAAAGCTCAACAAAAAAAAACTCATAAGAAAAAAAAACTTGGTTGAGTTTCCCAAACAAGAGAAAAAAAATGGCATGTTTGTGATTTGATTGAATATGGCTGCAATCGGGAAGGTTTTGTTGTGAGTTTCTGAGGGCTGGGCTCTTGGTATTGCGGATACATCTTGAGACTGGTTATATGGTCTTGCAAGCACGTCTGGGCACAAACCCAAGTGCCACTGGGGGTTTGGTTTGTGGCCAGAGGGCTTGATCATGTAGGTTGGTAGGGGGGTGGGACTTGGCACTTGGCCAAGTCTCACTGGGCTGATTTCAACTAAGGCTGGCACCTGGGGCTTTGGGCAGGGGGTCAAGCCCATCCCGGACCCCACATCTGAAACCATCCGGGTGGACACCGATCCACCCGGGGTGTTTCAGTTTTTTTGTTTGAGTGGTCAAGGTCCGAGTTAAGGAGAGTAGGAGTTGTGATTGAGCATGTTCTGAAGACTCAAATACCGCCTCCAATCCACATCACCAAGATGAAGCAAAGAAAAACCTCAACACCAGCTGCTGATCCCAATCCTGAAAATGTAATCAACATTGATGATCAAGACAAAGTTTCCAGCCAACCTAGATCTCAATCCAATCTTGTGGATGAAAGGAGTGATTCATTTGATGGACACCATCTCACAAAAGACTATTGCAAAACACCTGGGGTGGGTATCTCTCCATTCTCAAGAAAAGATCAAGATTCAATATCTCAAGAAACAAGATTTGATCTGCTTCACTCAGGATGCCTGGACGGCTCCGAATATGACTGCTTTCATGGTTGTAACAGCCCACTTGATCAATGAAAAATTTCAGATGATTGATATGACCCTTGCAATCCCAAATGTCCAAGGTTGGTACTTTGATTTTTCTTTCTTGGGGTCTTCATAAGTACTTAAATATATGTTCAACTCACTTGTTCAGGAAAGCATACTGGAAAAAACTTTGCCAACCTATTTTATGGTGTGCTTTAAAAATACAACCTCCTTGACAAGTTACACACAATCACAGCCAATAACGCTTCAACAAACGGGAAGATGGCACAAGAGTTGCAGCTCCAATTACCATCTTTTAACACCAAAACCAATCTGTTGGGTTGTATGGCACATGTCATAAATCTAGGTGCAAAAGCAGGTCTTGCGGTTCTAGGAGGGGTTGCAGAGGACAAAAACATGGGTGAAGAAGTCTTGATGGCCAATGATGGCTTGGACAAATCTGAATCCTCCAGATCATCCGTCATGCGTATCTCCAATCTGACCTCTGAACCATATGGAATTCAAATCAACCTAAAAACCATCCTCAAGAGAATGCACTCAATGTGCATCTATGCTCAATTTTCTCCACAACGATGCAAACGATTTCAAGAAATTGCAAGCGGTGTACAGCCAGAGCTGAAAGAAGCTGGTGCCAAATTCACCGGCCTTGAGATCAATGTATCTACCCGGTGGAACTCAACCTTTGAGATGTTTAATCGAGCAATCCAACTTCAAGAGTCTTGCAAGCATTTCTGCAAGGAGAGTTCAGAGACTTGTCCATACCTTCTATCTATGGCTGAATGGGATCAAGCTGAAAACTTGATGGGACTTCTCCACCCTCTCAGCAAAGCAACCAAAATGCTATGTGGATCCAACTATCCAACCATAAATAACGCACTACTGATCTACATCATCTTGATGAAACACTTGAAGCAAGTTCAAGCCAGTCTATATGACCAAGCCCAGCTGATCCAACCTGCCACTCAAATCATCAACAAGATCAAAACCTACCTCTGTGCCGCACTCAACAAACCACTTTATATATGTGCTATGATACTTGATCCCACATTCAAGACTAACCCTTGGAGCAAAAATCAAGCTTTCATTCAAGAGCACTATTCCTTGTCAGTCGATGACATCCTCAGCAATTTTTGGACTGCTGCAGAGAAATTTGAAGAGAACAAAGAAGGGGGGAATGATAATGGCACGCCAATCTGCACGCCACTTGCAGATTGGCGTGCAGGCCCACACGCCAAAGCAGTTTGGCGTGCAGGCCCGCATGCCAATTTGCAGCAAGTTAGATTGGCGTGCAGGTCCTAAACCCATATTCATATGGGTTTAGGACCGGGGCCATCCCATAGGACCCAGGCATGGGTCCTATGGGATAGCCTATGAATGTACATATAGGATTGTCTAAAAAAAAAAAACTTGAGGCTGGGAGGAACCCCTCCCAGCCCCAAGACTTGTACGGCCTCAAGGTCGGAGGAATGCCTCCAATCTGAGGCAGCAGTCCCAGCGCCGGGAGGAACACCTCCCGACGAGCAGCTTCAATCGGCTCGTCGACTGGTAAGTACACCAGCTTGTTGGAAGGAATTCCTTCCGACGAGCTGGTCTGATCAGGTCGTTGGACCAGCTCATCGGGAGGAACCCCTCCCGACGATCTGGTATGTACACCAGCTCGTTGGAAGGGATTCCTTCCGACGAGCTGGTTCAAATACCGGCTCGTCGGGAGGAGCCCCTCCCGACGAGCAGGTTAATCAGCCAGGCGGCTGAGCTTGTGAGAAGGAATTCCTTCCGACGAGCTTGTCTGAT